GGCTCGTTTCGGGAACAAACAAATTAAATAAAAATTGGTAAGCAACCTTTAGGCTTTGCGGCTCAGAGTTTTAGTTCCACATTCTGATTGGCTAGGGAATACCATCCTGAACACTGTTTGACAGTGTGTTACACCGTGAGATCTCTGTAGCTGCAGGTTTGTGTCTCAGATCACAACATGAACCAAAGCCAAGACAGCCAACTCTCTAACTGACCAGCTAATGAACTATCCCAACACATCGATACCCTCCCTCTCATCCTCGTGGCTGAGACCAGGTATGCTGCTCATTGTTACAGACACCAGCGGAGTGACCTACTTTAGTCTCTAATTGGACTTTATTGACCGGACGCCTGAGTTGCCTTATCAGAATTAGCTCTGGTTTCCTGGGAGAATTACTCTCCTTTTCTCAATGATATAACTGGGAGTCACAGTGTGATGAGCTTTCTGGGCACCTCAGCACCTCGACACCCCACCCCTGCCTCTTTCAGCTCACCCAGCCGGCACAGATCTGTCCTGCTGGGGCTGGGTGCTCACGGTGGCTCAAAGCAGCTTCCAAATGTTTGGTTTCGATGTGCAAGACAGCGAATAGCCAAACGGAATGAAAAGAAAGTCAGTGCAGGGCAGGTACCTAGACTGATCAAGTCATTGAGTCTTCATTCACATCATAGATTACAGCTCATTTCTGCTCATCTATAATTCTAGGCTCTGCAAATCAGCTGGAAATGTCCTATAAACAGGCAGGAAATGTCACAGAAGAGCTTAGGTTGGACCTGAATGTTTCCCATAATCATACAGTATATTCTACAGCTCTTGATAAACACTGTACCTTTACAACTTACTTTTGACACACACAAATTCTAAATGTGTGTGCTGTCAGTGGTAGGTGAAGAGCATTCTTACTGTCTTTCAACTCCTTGTCAGAAGCCACACTGACACATCAGCACTTTCTAACACAATCTGATTACCAGTCGAACAGCAATAAACTAATGAGAGCAGAGTTGTGAGCTCAGAGCGTACAGAGAGGAGATGATTGCATGGAAAGCCTAACCCTGCACTCCAGAGAATTAACAGAGACATCAAAGTCTCTCAGTGAGACATTTCCTTGGTTAATTCTCTTAGAAGACCTTCACAGAGCTCATTCTGGGAAACTGCTCAGCAGTACCTCTGCACAGACCTTGCTCCTCTCTCCTTGCATACAGCTCTCAACTCCAAGCCAGCCTGCTATAGACAAGAACATATTTCTGTCTCGGCACAAATGCAGTTAGAAAGATCATACACTTATCCAATAGCACTCCACAATTTCCAAACCAATGGCCCAGTGTGGTGACAGAAGACACTGTGCAGCCGTTTGGTTGAGTTGGAAAACTGACATCCTGACTACTTGATCATTAAAGATCCCAGTGCATAAGAGTAGGGTGTTCACCCCAGTGTCCTGGTTAAATTCTATAATGCTGTGCAATCTGACCTTCCTAAAATTCCTCCTTTAATCGTCAGTGGTAGATGAAGAGCAGTCATACTGTCTTACAACACCTCGTCAGGAGCCAGGGTGACACACCAGCACACCTGACTTCCAGTCAAACAAAGACTGATTGATTGATTGATTGATTGGTTGATTGGTTGATTGGTTACATCTGCTGTGTTGTTGTGCCTGCAGATGCGGAGTCACTTCAGTGTTCAAATGTTCTTATGATCCACAGGCCTGTGTGCACCCAGAGCGTGCTTGCTTCACTGGGGATCAGTGCCGAGGGGTTTCTAGGGCATTCAGGACAGACTCGGGCCCAGATCATCCCCTGCCTTGCCAAATTCTGTTCAACTTCCAGGATCCCCAGCCAACACTGCTGACAGTGCCCCTGCTCGCTCCTCCTCACCCACGGACCGCGACGTAATGCGCCCAGGGCGGAACCCCCCCTCCTTCCGAAACCACAGAGGACCCTGCTGCAGCACAGAGCACTCACACAAGCCATGTCAGCCACAATCCGACGTCTGCAGTCAGACGAGGAAAGAACACTGCACCTCTGTCGGGGAGGGGAGAGCATTTTCTCCCCTCTGGTTTTCTTTCGGTACACTGAACGCCACGGAAAACGTGCCCTTGAATTCTTCATCGGGATGCATGGACACTCCTGAAAGTGCAGAGGTGCAGGGCTGCTGAGAAAGGTAGAGGCTCCAGATGACCCCCCGTGCCGTGGGGAATGTAAATCCCCCAAATTGAATTCCATCCATACGTCCAAGTGTGATCTTTAATCTCTGTAAATTCTGTAACAGTATTTTTACTCGATAGGCAAATAAAAAGCAAGGTTCAAGATTCCCCATATGAAAAGCAGCTTTGCATTCATTACTCGAGCGGTTTTATAATTACCTCTGTAATTAGTTGACTATGGGCAAGACGCCTATTTCATTTTATTTAGAGGCACATGCAAAGCGTGCTTAGTGATTTATTTGCATTCCTGCATGATGAATGCACAAAATAAATAATGGATTAAGGCCCTCAGTGAATGTGTGTGAGTGCATTTGTCTGGCTTTAGTCCGTAGTAGCAAGTGTGATTATGAATTACCTAAAGAACAGCAGAATGCTAATGAATAGTCATGAATTGCTTCTGACAAGACGAAGAACAAGAAAGAGGCCTTCTCCCTGCCAGTTTAAGGGAATGGTAAGGTAATGATTTCTGTGTATTGCAGGAACCTGCTGCAACACACTACCTGGAGCGCTGTCCCAAAGTCACAGCCCTGTAACTTTAATGACTCAGGAAAAGAGGGAAAGGGACATTTAAAAAACACAGTCTGTACCTTTTATGTATTCCTCAGTGCTTCATTGCAACACTTAATCTCCCATTGCCTTGCATAAGCATATAAAAGAACATAGATGGCAGAAAGCTATTTGGCTCATTGCATACAGTAGTTAGTAGCTTATTGATCTGAGGATCTCGTCCAGCCTTGAAAGCAGCGAGATTATCGCCTTTGACAACATGGCTGGGGGTAGCTTGTTCCAGACCCCCACAACCCTTTGTGTAAAATAGTGCCTCCTTTACTCATTGGGGGATTCCATCCAGCTGTTGAAATACGCCAGGGCATGGGCACCAAGAGCTTGGGTACTGGATAGCTTGTTCCACACTCCTGCAACTGTTAGTGTAACTCATTATGGGCACTTAAGCGCCCAACTGCCTTGGATTTGCCCTCTCTTGCTGGTGTGCTGCTGGCCACTCAGGCCCAGCCTGCCAGCTCACTAGGCATCTCCTTCCCCAGGAGGACCAGCTGCGAGAGGCATCCCAGAATGCCTTCGGAATAGCAGGGCCAGAGGCAGTGAGATGAAGAATAAGTTTACCGCAAGCTAAGAAGAAAAATAACTCTTCTCAATATGCGCATATTTGTTAATAAAACCTTCCAAAGAGGCTGAGGCTCTCCGTATTGCAGTGCACCAGCCTGTCATTAAAACAGGGGAACCGACACACGCCAACAAGGTGAAGAAGACAGATGCGTACATTTAAGAGAAATAGCACATGACAGAGTGAAACTCCCAAAAGCACAGAGAGGATCATTAATTTATTATGAAGAACTTCAATGAATAATGGGGTGATCCTTCTAGCTGAATTGTATTTAATACTCTTTAGCGTGTTGGTTCCCAGACCCTACAATAAAGCTGGCAGCCATCTCGCCGGCGCGTTACTAAATTGAATATAAAACCGACAATTGGCAGACTTCCGCATCTACCAAAAACTCGACTTCAGTGAAATCTGAGTTGGGTATAGAAGGAAATTCAGGGGGAAATGGGTGCGAGCGGAATACCCGATGAGGTATTCTTGGTAGCAACAGGAGACAAATCCTATCAGGTTAGCCTCGCTTCTTTAAATGAAAACAAATGTATAATAAAATAAAAAAAAGCGCCGTGGGACCCAGCGGCGGTACGAGTTTTGTTTTGCTGCTTTGCTTTAGCCAAATCCCAAGTCTTCGCGATGAAGTTATTCAGGGGGTGTATCGGGGAGCGAGAAGATTGCTGGAAGCCCCGCTGGGGACAACTTTCTCGTCGGTCGGTAGATCACGGTTCTGTAAGTTTCGCCGCAGCACGGCGGGTCCCGTTCCCCTGCTGTGCTGCACTGAGCGCACCTCGGAGCGAGTGAGCCAGCGCGTCAGGGATGCCGGCGCAGGCAGGCAGGCAGGCAGCACGCTCCTGCGCTGACTGTAGCGCTCATGATTCGGCCTCTCGGTGTGAGCACCGCAGTTGTTGCAGAACGCTTTGAGCACAGAGGCAGTCGGCAAAAATAAACTCTTGTCCTGACTGTACCACCATCCCTCTCACTTCTTTTTTTCAGCGAGATATTATCATTTATCGCTCGGCAGATTATATGGGAATTCAGCAGCCCGTCTGAAAAGAAGCCCCGGATGCTGAAGATGGGTCTAATATTTAAATATTTATACCAGCTATATCCTCCTTTTCCTTAAAAAAACAACACACATTATATTCTACTAAACGAGCCTGGCAGAAATCTCACGTTCTGAAGCATTCAGAGAGGGGAAAAAAAAGTTGTTCCTTACTTGATATTAATTCGACAACACCAGCTCCCTTAAAACCATGGAATGGCTTCAATTTATTTCTCGATTCCACGTTTTTTAAACATCATTTGTAAAGTATTTATTGAGCGGCAACTTCGCAAAACCAGCCAAATCTTCGCTTCTCAACAAGCAATAATTTGAACCAGACACAGCATATTTTCAAAATAATTTGTCTGTTGTTTATTTTTAATCTGATACTAAATTATTTTACGCATAAAGAATCGTTTGCATGTTTTAAGACACATTTCCCAGACAGGCTATTGGGTTACGGGGCTGTTTTTAACGCACCGAACCCATTTTCCTGAAACCTGCACGCATCACTTCTGCGCCTCCAACATCACAAAACAAGATTTAAAAAAAGCAGAGCTGTGCCCATCCCAATAAAAGCAGACAAATCTCGTTGAGAAATAACAGTGAAATCAATGTATTAATTAAGCAAAATCAAACCCACTTACTGAACTGGAGAGCAACAGGCACGAGGAAGTACGCGTAACTGTGGTAAAATCTCATGCTCGGAGTGTTCGGGAGGGAAAAAAAAAGAAACTAATTAAAATGCAACAACGATTTGGTTTTAAAAAAAAGTTAGAGGCAATATTGCACCGTCTATTTCTTAATCCTTTTGGAAAGATGAGGAATCCGTTCACAGGACAGGAGAAGGGCGACGCTGCGCCTCTGCTTCGTGCGAGCGTGCGAGTGACCGTGGGACCTACCCACTCCTCTCCTGCGCCAGCGAGCCGTGGGAGAGAGAGAGAGAGTCCCTGTGCGAGCTCTGTTTACGTTACAGAAACCAGATTAAAGCTTCATTTCCGTGTATTAAAAAAAAAACTGGCAATCTTTACTTAAAAGGCTTAATACGATTTTCCGGGAACGCGGGGTGGATGACGCGTGTTGTATTACATATTTCTGCTTGTAAATAAGCGCAGCCGGGGGGGGGAGTAGAGGACGGCGGCGGATGATTTTTTTGTAACCCGTTAATCCGTCTAAACAAGTCAGAATAGCGGCGTGGATCTGTTAGGTGACACCCAGGCTTTCAAAAGATGAAAAGACACGCTTTAACCCTCGAGTAATCCTGGGACGTGGGTGACAGTCAGATGGATCTTAATTCTACAACTTTGCACATCTGATCTCGTGTGATCTGCGTCCATCAGAGCCATGTTGCTCAATTGAAGCAGAGCTCGCCGTACAATCACTGTCTGCCGCAGAGGTATTGAATATCCAATATGTCGAGTACTTCACCCCGGTCCGCTCATTCAACACTAACTACCCTGAGCTACCGTGAGCCATCAGGGGAGTCTAGCGCTCGGGCAGTCCGTCGTCTTCACAGGATTATTGCTCTGTTTTATTTCGGGGAAAAAAACAATTTGACAGTTAAGGAAACAAGTGTAAAATGTACAACAAAACTACATCAAGCACAATGAACATACATGATTCCTAACGCAATGATAAAGTACAAATGATCGATTTCCGTCTTACTGAAGACAATTTCCATAACTTTATTTTGTACTTGGAGAATATATATACCATATTTGAGATGTGTAGTGTGTTGTCCGTTAAATAAACGCTACAGGTCTGAAATGGGTTCATTTTCTGAGCAAAATGTACAAAGCTTCAGCCCCGTGAAACCTGTCGTATGAAGTTGTGTCATTCTAAAAGCGCAAGTGTTTTTAAAGAGCAGACGTCAGCGAGTTTAATAACTGGAAAGCAGGACATCAAGCTACCATCAAGAAGCCGAGGTATTACAAAGCATGGAAACAGAATATAAAAACAACAGGAGAAGAGGAAATATCATATTATAATATTATATGTGAAAAAATGGGAATTCGGCTGTTGCGGGGATCACCGTCGAAGTTTTACTGTTTGTCTTGAGTTAATCCCCTTAATTCAGTCCACGGTTCTGAAATCGCGCTCCGGTCCTGTGTTTTAGATGGGGTAGCATAAACGTAAAGGACGTATTTGGACTGGGAAAAAATACGGTGTGTGTTAGAGCAGGAAAACCCATCCCGAGTCTCTCAGTGAATAATAATAATATATTCTTTACACATTCCTTATAGCGCTTTTTTGGACACTCCTCACAAAGAGCTTAACTTGCAAACCCAATTAAACTGTAAATTAGCAGGGGCGGTTACAACTATGGTTGCAATAATTTCTACACATCGGCGAGCTTGCTGTCATAAAGGTTGGACGGGGACAATATATTTAAGAGAGAAACTGCAAAAACGTTTAGCGTATAGTATGTCAACATGCTGTTTGTTATTCAAGAGAAAGAAAATCAAAACTTCGGTCATCCTCGGACAACATGTTTAATGGAGAATTAACGGTCAGTATCAAACGCACCAAGCAGAATAAACAATAGTAACATCAAAACAGCACTTTTTATTGAACTTTTCAAATTGTATCCAAAAATGTTAAGCCTACAGTAAAAGAAACGTGTAAAATGTACAACAAAACAGTCCAAGATCAAGCACAATGAACACAAACTTATTCTGAACACAATGGAAAATTACAAATGATCGAATTTTGTCTTACAGAAAACAATGTCTATAACTGGAATTTATATTTGGAAAATATATATATACCATATTTAATGTGCAATTTTCTTTCAAACATTCAAACCTATTTTTTTTTTGCTTAACCCTGATCTGAACCTAAGATACCAAAAGACTATTTTAACTATCCTATGTTCCTGATTTTCAATTATAACCTATTTTACCAATCTGTGCTATGTTCATTTTTTGTGTTTGCTCCAAGACAGCTTTTGCAAAGGCTTATCAACCACTCCAACTTTAATATTCTATTAGCTTTTTACACAGGCAGAATACTAAGTGAATGTGGTAAAATAAAATACCAACGAGTATGCAATTAATCTAGTTTAAGATACAGAAAAAACAAAGGTTAGCCAGAAAACGTGTTGAATAGGTATATTACAAAGGCAAGAGATTACCTGTTGTGTTTCAGACGGCCTGCAGTTTACTTTAAATGATAAGAGACAGCTGTGAGCTGGAGAATCTCATCCACTGAGTTTTGAATACGCAAGACTAAACAGCATGCAAAAATCATGCTAAGATTTAACATCAGCTGTTAACCAAGACAGCAAACGTCTAAAAACGGGTAGGCGCCCTTCTGAAAGATTTTACAGCAGCGGTAAACCAACAGGAACCAGCTGCTCAGTTCCTCCATGTTTCAACAGTAGCAATGGATACGGCCGCGTGTCAAAGGCATGTCACCTCACAAACCCCATGTAAGCTTCTGAAAGTCTAGGCTCGGGAAAGCCCGGTTCTTTTAACAGAAGTGCTTTTCTGAAGCTTTTAGCAAACGTGAACAGTGTCTGGGAGGCATCTTGACCACCCATGGGATGCTCAACCACAAAATACACACTTCCCGAGCTGTTCATCTTTCTCAGGTTCTCATCTTGTCATCGGGCCAGGTTGGAGACTTTAAAAAAAAAATGTTCAATGGATCACACCGGTTTGTGATGTGCAATTGTTATATTTATGGCACAGGATTACACTTACGGATCATGTTTGTGAACCTCTTAAAACAGATTTGCTTCGGTACAGGGAAGAATAAATCCAACAGGACAAATGTCAGCTGTTGGTGTCCAAGCCCTGTATTTCACTGACCTCGGACCAAACTGACAAACACATGGCCTGTTTTCCTGGACAATAACATGGCTTGGTACGTCATTAACAAGTGCGTCTGCAGAGCTAACAGACATCATGGATAAGGTAAAAAAAAAACATTATAGGGAATAAAAAACTAATTTCAAAGGAATAGTACAAAATAAAAGTTAAAAAATTTCTGTTCATCTCCCCAGTGATTATTTTTGCGCCCCTACTTCCTTCTGTGTTTGAAAGCTTAACTCCACCCTCACTAACCCCACCTCCCTGCAATGCACAGATAGGAAGGCCTCTGAAATTCAAGATAAAATATATATTTTTGCATCACTCTCTTATTCCATTAAACTTAGCAGTCACTGGTGGGAAACGATTTCAGCTGCTCGCAACCCCCGTCACCCACTCTCACAGCCACGTAAACCCACGCCGTGAGGTGCAGGTAAGCCACTGACGCTCCAGTCATCTCTATCCCAGCCCACCAAAGACTCCACCACAGCAGCGGAGTCTCGGACAGTCAGCACACAGCCAAGGCCCAGTGCACGTGCACCCTGGGCTGAGAGGAATCCTACACTGAGCAGGTTGGAGATGAGATGGATAAGCTGTGAAACGGACACATATGATCCTAATTTGACTTGTGCGGAGTGAGCCAATGTCTCATTTCTTTCCAAAATTTAAACTTGGCGGGATTTAGATATATGAATCAGAGTCAAAGGAACTGATAAATACATCTCTTAAGGCACTTACAAATAGGAAAGGATTTTTCCCCACTTTCTTTGGGCTTGGAAAAAAAGCCTATATTATACCATCATATCTAGGACACAGAGATACTCTATCGAAGTATATTCAATGAAAAACATTTTTTACATAAAATGTACAATCGGTGAACTGGCTTCACTCCAGGCAGGCTTATGAGTAAACACTTCATTGTGGTTAGCAAACAATGGACTATAGTTAATTTCCATTAAAAAGTTCACATTGAAAGTACAGAAATTAGATTTTGGTAGTTTGCCTGGAAAGCGTAGCCTAATTTGAGCTTCTTAGGTACATGATTAATTATCAGAAAACAAAACTTTAAAACGCAGACCTGAGAACCCACAACTAATGCTCTTTAGCACAGCTTTTTAATTTTCAAAATCTCAAATTTCAGAAGAAAGCAGAAGAAGAGCAAATTACACAGAATTATTAGATCTCTGTACCATAGTAACACAAGCCCCAAAACACCAAAGTGTGATTCAATGTGAACTTTTTTCCTGTAACACCCAGACTGATGTAGCAGGCTATCAATACAATCTAGGCCTGAAAACACTTGAAAATGTTTTTTTGGGAGGGGTTAATATATTTCAGCATAAATCGATCCCAAAAATGAGATGGTATGTGCTGCCCTCTAGACATCAAGGAGCACAGTGCAGATAAATGAAAAGACCACCTTTTCAGGTTTCAAATGATCATACTGCATGTGTGAAAGTGAATACAGCACACTTAAGAAATTCCAGTGTAATAGCAAATTAAAAGGAAATAGCCACTAAAGAACAGTTTAGCTTTGATTATATCCTTTCACGTTTTGTAAATAAAATATGGACATCACTGCTGTAGGTAAGGGAACATCCAAGAAGATGTAAACAAAACTTGGAGAAAAATAAGAGATGAATAAACCCCAATTCCACCCCCCAAAAAGTTTGAAGCATTCATTTACTGAATAAAGATCACACTAAAACATGCCCGTTTAAGCACAATAAACTTGCATTGTTCACCTTGACTCAAAGTGTACTATAATAACCCTATGCATGGCACCAAAAATGTAAAGATTTTGACAGACAAAGGGCAAGCAAAAACAAAGAGCAGAAGAGCTGACGAGCACTGTGTGACACAGCAGAGCTTCCACATGACAGAAATTATTTTGGAATTAAAGATATCAGAGGTGCAAGGGTGGGGGGTGGGGGCAAATTACCGGAAACTACAACCTCAACCTGAAAGAAAATCACAGGCCGCAGCTTTTCCAATGCGTGAACTACTTTTTAAACAGCGGCTCCTTCTTGACAAGTCAGACTGACAAAATATTTTAAAAAAAAAAACAGAGTTACCCGAAAAACAAACTACAAAAAAGGAACAGAAAAAAACGCTCAGTGTCTTTTTTGGAACTTCTTCAGTCGGCGATGGAAGCAGAAGGACCCTCCCGCCTTGCACTGGCTGAAAACCCAACAGGCACCGTCAGTCCGAAAGGTATAAAACGTTCAAAATCAACGATCCTCCTACTGTTTTGGTTCTTTGCTTATTTTTTTCTTTTTAATGTCTTTTTCGAAAGAGGGAAAAAAACACGCGGAACTGAAGGTATGACAGTCTCTGTTCAAAATGACGAAGAGAGGATATTAGTAACAAAACTGTTTTCTGTATTCTTCCTGTGGACTTTGTGACCTTCTGGCTCCCAGTGAAAGGATATTAATGGGGCACTATGCACCGCTGGAGAAAGGCCTTTCGTTCATTCATCCTCACGAGAAGTCTCCATTCTGGGGCGGGCAGGGAGGAGGAGCGGGCGGGCGCGGGGCGGGCACTGGGCAGGCACTGGGCACGGGAGCGCGGCCGCTTAGCTCATGCCGTGGTTGACCAGGCCCTGCAGCATCATCATCAGGCGGCGGGCTCTCTTGCTGAGAGGGCTGTGGGGCTCCAGCTGCAGGTACTGGTAGAGCTTCTGTCGGACCTGCGCCAGCACGGAGCTCATGTGGTCTCGGGTCACGGGGTCACTGTGATCCAGGTTCATCACCGCGTCCTCCAAGTAGCTGCGGGACGCACAGCACGGGACGTCAAAAACATTCCATTTTGGTTTTAAAGGGGAGTCCGTGGCACAGACCTAAAAACCTCCCCAGCGCACAGGGCCTATACACGTATCTTTTCACTCAGGCACCAGATGGTACCGTACTATGCAATAGCAGATAATTCCAATTTGGCATCTGCAGACCAATGCAATACATTTAATAGTTATCAGAAAGTTAATCTGCTGGATTAAAAGAGCTATTAACCTTTTAATGCTATAAATGCCACATCAAATCTTCATTCTGAAGAGCTAAGCAAAAAGCACAGAACATCAGTTCAGCCAGTAAAATCGTACTGTATGCATACACTGTATAACTTCTTTTCTTGAAACTATGGAGATATATATGTAATACAGCTCAGCTCCTTCACAGTTTCAAAACTCCCTCGACAATCCCACTTAAAATTCTATACAGATTTTACCAACTTCTACCAAATCCCAGGTTAGTTCCATTTTCATGTAACTGTGCTGTGGGTGTTAGCAGGCCTGGATGCAGTGTGCATACCTGATCTTGAGCTCTGTCCTGGTGGCCAGGTTGGTGGAGAGCTGCTGGATGAGTGAGAGGAGCACAGGCTGGATGAGAGGACAGGGGTGCTGTCCAAACACCTGCTGTGAGTCAACTGTCTCGCACACATACAGGACCAGGTTCAGATCAGCGGCAGACAGAGCCTGGGAGAGAAAAAATGGCAAATTTACAGTTAGAAAGATTTGTAATGTTTTATTTACCTTGAAAGTCTCACATCACTAAAAACTAGTCTATTAACAATAATGACATGCAGTTATGTTGACCGAAAAATGGAAACATCCGTGTAAAGTCACTTAATAAGAGTGTTGGACCCCCACATGCAGCCAGCTCAGCCTGCTTATCCCATGGCAAAGGGCAGACTACACCAGCTTCTGGAATTCTGCAGGAGGGATGCGGCACCGTTCTTCAACAAGACAGTTAATCCACTCGCTCCTGGCTTGCGGAGATGGGAAATGCCATCTCAATGATCGTTCCAGGACTTCCCATGAAAGCTCAACTGGGTTCGGACCTGGTGACTGAGGAGGCTGTGACACACGGGTAACATCCGTGTCCTTACAGCCTTGTTAGCTGTAACTACAGGAAACCAAGGCAACCAAGCCACACCTGTGTGGAAGCATTTCACTATGCTTAGTGTCCCTTATTTACCCAGGTGTTTCTTTTTGTTCACTACCTGTACGTCATCAACACCAATACAGGGCATAAACACCAAAGCACCACTAAGCACAGCTCATCTTAAAACAAACTGAGAAAAGATCAAGAAGAGTGCAGAGGCCAAAAAGGCTTTCTGCTCTCTAGTTGCTCATTATTCACTCAAAAAACCTAATGAGGTGATTGATTGTGTATCAGTGAACAGATTTACCAGTCCCTTTAATAAAGGGAAATAAACCGTTTATAATTAACCTCCCCTTAATGTGGCGAATTCACCAAGGCAGCTCGCAGACTGCAATTACAGCTTCAGAGAGACAATGATGAATGAGCAAAAACAGCGACAGAGGGAAGAGAACAAGTGCATGGAATTCCTTCTTAATTCTCCTCAATCACTGAGGGCACAACTGTCCGGCTGTGCTCCGGACCCACCTGCTGAAAGGCCTGGTTAAGCTGCCCCTGCTGCAGCATCTGCAGGATGTTGGCCTGCTGACTCTGATAGTCCAGGTGTGAGGTGGGGATGGGTGTGCCAGCAGCAGAGCGCATGGCCTGCATTATGCTAGAGGTCACCACTGCCTGTTGTTCCTTCATGGCCATGCCCACCTCTCCTTTCACAATGCGCTGCACCTGAGTGAGGATCGAGTCCTGCAGGCTGGGCAGAAAAAGACCAGGGGGGATTAATGTGTTCCAACGAAACTCACGTCAATCGACAAGCTTCCTAAGCGTCTACAGCACTGTCACAGGTAGATGGAGCTTCACTGAAGGAGGAGCTGATCACTGTAAAATACTGCAACAGAATGGATGGGGAAGATATCCCACTGTGTACACCTGCTCCATATAATTATTTACCTAGTATAAAGAAATTGCACAAAACCTGTATAACAAAGCAAAAGCTAAACATCTCACTTTGGAATTGAAATCCGTCGGTAGGAAGGCGCAGAAGGTGAACAGACTCACTTTCCCACAATGACGTGGAGCTGGTGTTGGACCTCGGAGCGCACGCTGGCCGTGACGTTGGAGGTCAGCTGGTCGGTGGAGTTCTGGAATGCGTCGAGCGTCTGCTGCAGCTGGCCCACCAGCGGGTCCCGGGCCTCGTGGTCCCGCAGTTTTTTATTCTTCAGGTGGCTTTCAAGCTGCTGAATATCTGGGAAGACAAAAATAAAATAAGACACTTCCAGCTTCCTGCATTTATCCCGCCCCCCCCGCCCCCAAGAAGTAACAGAACACAGAAACGTGGCAAAACGAGGGGCGCCGTTTTGAAGGAGCCTCACATTCGTGTGTCCCCTGCTTGAAGCTGTCGTTGATCTGCTGGAACATGGACTGGCAGCCCTTCTCAAACACTGGCAGCACGATGCTCTGGAAAGCCTCTCTGTATGCAGCCTGTATAGGACCCTGCAAAGCCTCAGCCGCTGCTTTCCCAATGGCATCTGTAGTGTTCTTCAGAGACAAAAGGAGCACAGAGATCCGGTCTTTTAAAAAGGCAGGAAAACAAGCACAAAAAAACGACACAACATCCTGTTAACACAGCCAAAAGAACAAGTAAAGGTAAACCGTGTACTGGAAAAGTAGGAAGACCAAAAACACATTCTGTCTGTGGAGCCCTCTTCAGATGAGAGGGAGAGAGTGTGCAAGAATATAAAGTCCAAGGGGAAGGAAGTTAAGGAGAATAATCATAATAATAATAAATGTTATTTTATATAGCGCCTTTAAAGGTGGCTTCTCAAAGCGCTTTACAGAATGAGAACAAGAAATAAATAAAAAGAATACACAAGATAAAACACAATTACAATATGCAGAGGAGACCGTGGATGGTGGCACTAGGAAAAGCAGAGGGATGAAGAATGAAACCAGTTAAGTAAAGGGTCTTCTAAAGAAGAAGGTCTTTATTTGAAGGATTTCAGAGAAGGTAACTCTCTAATAAATGTGAATAAATGAAGGAGCAGTCGGGAAAGCGGCCAGATGAATGAAAATCAGGAGGATGAATTCCATGAGAGGTGTGAAAAGCTGAAATCGGCTAACATATGAAGAGAGATTTGAAAAGACATTAGTCTAGGAACAGAGAGCTGGTGGATGGTGGAGTCACAGTTTAAGAGTTATTACAAACAATTATCCTTTTCCGTCTCTCACACACACACGAAGAAGGCTCCATTTAAAAAGGTCATGTTTTAGCTTTCTACTTATTGAGGAATGAACCTCTACTTGTTACTTTGCAGCTAGCACACCGATGCAGCACCCTCCTTTCTGAACACATATTGGAAGTCCATTGTGATGCACGACAGATTTAAGTCACTCAAAATATCTCCCCCTAGACTTCACATAACTATGAATTTCAGTATCCCATCAGTTCAAATTATTGTGGAGAGAGCCTTTATAGTGCAGTGCTGCAGCCTCAGGAGAGGTTTCTCTCTCTTCGGCAGATCAATATTTATTTTACACTGCATCTCTGTATTCAGGCACCATTATGAAGCATTATACAATGTGACAAGCTGGACAGAGATAAAATTATTTAAGAAAATTAATAAAGGTAAAAAAAGCGATAATGGACCTAAATCATTCATATGAAATACATGAGCGGTAAATCAGTGCCATGCTAGTTCTTGCTCTAGATAGTGATTTGTGAAAAGAAAAAAAGACAACAGAAGAAATAATTTTTCAACACAGGACTGCAGAAGAGAACAGACAAAGCTCTTCTTTCAACTCTCACTAAACACTGGATAAAATTTCACGTTTTGCAGGAGGTGAAACACACCTTTGACTTCACCATTTTCGTGACACTCTCCTTCAGAATTCCCTCCACTGCAGTCAGCTTGGCTGCGATTGTGTTGCTCAGCTGCCCTGTGACTGGCTCCAGGCTCTTTGATACAGCTGCAGACACAAAATCATCATGAGCATCAGGATGACCTGCAAGCCAATTACCTGTAGCCTGTTTCCTAAACAAATTCACACCGGCTGCTTTTGATACATTTGAGAACTAAGCCAAGGAAACAAATATGAAAAAAGTGGGTGGATTAACCATCCTGTCAGTCCAGAAGGGCAATGATGCAACCAGCAATATCGAATTCTATTTTGTTTATGTAAAAGAAATGCTTGTGTATTGTAGGGATGTTTCCTGATTCCCCAGATAGATAAAATAAGGTTTGCATTGTTGAACAACAATATTTACAGGCAGTGGGACTTACAAGTCAAGATAAGTCTATCTATACCTATGAGGAATGTACCCATGTGAAGTATTCTGACGTTATTAGAATATCAATGAGTTTAAAAGTTTTATTTAATTTTCAAGAAAGATGAGGGAAATATATTTGTAGATGACTCAAGAGTTAAATTAATCTCTTTTATTAAAATGAAAATGTTTTGAGTGAAGTGAAATTAAAAAAAATCTGTTAAAATTAAAAAAAGAAAGTGATTTTTTTTATGCAAACAAAGGTACACTTTGACACCCTGGATGTGTCCAAGAATGTGTGCTCTTTGGGACACAAACGTGATTTTGCAGTCGGATGTATTTTGACATGACTTGCCAGTACTGCCAAGTCAGAAGCTCAAATTCAAATTTTTCAAGTGGTGGGACGTCCAAGTCTAAATAGGCCATTAATGGTTAACCTAAGGTCACTACAAGACAATTCCATTACAAAACCACAGATCTGAGAACGAGCTGTTAAAAAACATGGAAAGTAGCTCCGTGAGAGCAAAGTAAGGATCTCCCAGGAGCCTTTTTCCCTTTTCACTTTGTATGTTGCAGGACAAATGCATGCAATGAGCTTTCCCTTCTACAAAACTCAGCTGAAGATTTCTAATTTGCAATTTGATTTCCTTGCAGAGATCGACAACCCAGGTGCGTTTTGTCCTCTGAGAGACTCACTCTGCGGGACGGTCTTCTTCATCTCGTCTCGGACGATCTTGTCCAGCCGGTTGGACAACGTGTTGCCGAGAGCCTGGGAGAGCTGCTGGGCCAGGTGCTCCTGCAGCTGCCGGCTGCGGTCGTGCTCTTCTGCCACCATTCGCTCCATTCTTCTTTCTTAGAAGGTCAAGGGTCAAGGATTGCACGTGGGACGCACGAATGTGAGAGATAAGACCCTCTCCTAAGGTCAGCTGCCAGCTTCGCGGAGGAGACAGGTGAAAGTTTTTTTTCCTCATCTCATCAGCCTGCTAATTTTATGGTTAGCGTGCCATAAACACTATATTTTCATGTAGTGCAAATGAATCATTCCCACGTTCTGCACAAACCAGGAATCACACTTACTTTCTGCATGAACGGCATGTGGCCAGGATGGCAAGGCTTCAGAGATCAACAGCACTTGCACAATCAGGCCCAACATTAATGGGGACATAAATTCAGTAGTAATAGTTTGATACTTAATAGTATGACTTAAGTAGAAGTGTTAAATTTCCCAAAATTATGAGGCTTAAACCCACATATACCAATGCTCTGTGACTCACAAACAGAAATGCTTGCAGCATCAGATTTACAGCACCAGACTGGATCATTATATAACCCTTTTTGAGCTATGGGAACAAATCCAGATTAAGATTACCACAGCTTCCAGACAAGTCAAAAAGTTACATGTTTTCCTGCTGTACATCATCTTTTCATTTAACAGCTGAATCAGGAGACACCCGACTCACATCCTGATACCTCATCTGTGCTTAAACAGCAAGCTTGGAATTTCCATCTTCAGATCAGTTCAAGGATGAAAAGCAAGGATTCGGGTATTTTACAAAACTTGCACAGGGTGAAAAAAGGAGACTATCAGAGTTACATGGACACTTTACAAAGGGAGAGATCAGAAATTGGGTTAACTTGCACCAGAGCAATGGGAAAGGAAAGAACAAACTACTGGGACTACATAACTGAAAGTGAGCATAAGGCACTAAGGAAATGAGAGGTGGCCTGTGCAGAAGGCAATGAAAATGTCTAAAAAGGATACGCTCCTGCTCCTGCTGGGAGACCATGACTCTCTCCACATGGCCCATGATAGAACTCTGAACGGCATCCATGTGGTTGGTGAGCCTCTGCATCAGCTCCATCTGGCTCTGCCTTAACTCCGAGATCTCCCTCTGCTGGCTGCGCACCAGGGACAGCAGCTCCTCCTGCATCTCTGGATTCATCTGCACCAACATACACACACAAATGCATAAAGTGTATCTACCTTTATGAACACCGGGCACTCAAACATCCTAATCCCCTTGGTCCAAATAATTCTTCGCAAACGTTCCAGGAGTAGAAGCACTGATCCAGAATGAATGTTCATGTGGTTGTTCTGACAGAGTGAATAAATTCAGGCAGCAGTGTGCAGATGTTGCGCTACGTGTACGAGAACAATAGCTGCACAGGGTCTCGTACATTTTCGTGGATTCAGAAAGGCTTTTTGATGTCCGTCCCTTTTGGTAGCAGAAGACAAAACTTTACTAGAATAATCAGCCATTCTAGTTAGGAAAACAAAAAAATATGTAATAGCAGGTATTCAGAGTTTTTTTTTACAGAAGCTGTACATTTTAACTTGAAACTACTGTGGTACGAACACAAATCAATAGTTATGTCAGATGAATAAATTCCCAAAAGGAGAACTCCTGTTCAAGCCAACCAGACGTGTCAAACAATTGCAGCCGACATGAAAAACGATCAAAAATTACAACAGGGCAAATTCTAATGAAAACTTTCCTTATACCAGCTCCAAAAACAATCCTTAATTCTAAGAAGATGGCTTTATTAATCAGATAATTCAAACAACAAGCAAATGTACATTCATTCGCTTATTGTATTCAATTGCTTCAAGTGTACGAAGGAGGATGGTGGCTCCAAGCTCCACATTTCACAAATGTTATTTCTGTTCCTAAGAAACGGACCTACCTGATGATCTGCTTGCCTGGACTGTGCAGCATCGCTAAAAAAAGAAAAACAAAAAGTAAAGATTTCAGCAGGATGCCATGCAGGATTGAGGACTATAGAGTATTTAACTGAGAAGCTTCTTATCTGGGGTAATCAGACATATGCACTACTGTGAGTACAGGGAAGATAATTAAGGAAATGGAACACTGTGCGAGGGTGCTTGAAATAATATTTAGAGCCTGCTGGGGAACAATGATACTTATAACATCACCCGATTACAGACAGACTAGGGTATACTGGCTATCGGGTAACATCAATTACGCACCATGCAGAACGGCTCTTCCGTAGTGCAGAGCAAATTAGTGTTCATAACAGCAAGTCACACTGAGACTGTCCCATGGAGCAACCAGTTAAAAGAGCTAAAGATAACAATCACATCGCCTACAACGCATAAGTCATGGCTGTGTACAGCAACAGAAATTGAGCATAGTTCTCACTGTGGGTAATACAGTGGGATAAGAAAAAAAAAGTTTTCAAATGTAAACATAACCCAAACGTATTGCTTGGACAGCACGTACCCATCATCTTTTTTGCTCTTTCTCTTTAATTTTGGAGAACTCCTTGGGGAGACTTTCCATTCTTTTACAGGTAACCTGTGGGAGGGTTTGGGACCATAGTTTCCTGTGGAAGACGCAAGGCTAGCAACTTCCTCATCGTGATCACTGCAGATCAAGTAATAATTCTCATTAGGGAAAAGCACAGATTCACAGTACGTTTATAGAGTTAAATGCAAAGTTCATGGTCTTTTCTTCTCTCTCTGCACACATCTGCGTTACCTTTGCTCTGCACTTGCATCCTGGCTGTCGTGCTGGGGGAGGTGATAGGTGTGTCTATGGAATGGAGAGGTCTTGTGCTTCTCCTTCATGTCTTCACGAGAGCTGGAAGGAAGGAGAAGACGAAACCTAGTGAAGCACATGATTTATTTTTCACGCCGCAAAACACTTCTGTAAATTTTGCCTTCTCCATATATTCAAGCACCTGTCCTTTTTCCAGCACTGGACAATCATAAATTCTGCCAAAAGCGTTTCAAAATAAATTCAGGCAATATAAATGTTGTTTTTAATACAAATAAAACGAGTTTTTTGTAGGCAGAATTGGGTAGATTTTGGTCGGCAAATTGTTTTATAAAGCTCACTGTGAGTAAGCCAGTTTAGTGAGAAAGTTGTCACCACCAGTGGAGATTATTTAAGGGAAAGGCTGAAGCTACACTTGGAGAATTTCTGATTAACAACACCGGCTAAACGCCATTAAATTGCATTAATTGTGAATCAGACACTCCACTGTAGCTTATGTTGTATAAATTAACAGACGGAAATAATGAGGAAAGAAATGGACCTTTGAAAACGCAGTCAGGCTGCATCTGGGTGGGTCAGTGGGGCTGAAACCATGTTAAATGAAAATCAAGGGAAACGGCCAGGACGTTATTCTTAACCCACTCTTGGAATTTCCACGTGATCATAATTATCTGTTTGTTAAGATGCGATTAGAGGAGAGAAATCCCCTTCAATTGGCTTCAGCCAGCCATCACAGGGCAACCCTGGTCTCTCTAGTTATTTTCTGACAGGTCTCTTGCACGGGCCGGCGGCGGCTCACCAGTCCGCGAGGCTGATCCTGGTTTCCCGGGTAATGTCGGGGGCCGCCGGCCAGGGCTGGCTCGCGCCGCTGTCGGCCGCCGAGGCCGCGGCGCTCTCCTGGGACAGGGCGGTCTCCAGCAGCGACGGCGTGCAGCCGAGCAGCTCGCCCGGGCCGGGGCCCAGCTCCAGGGAGCGGGCGCTGTGCTCCGAGTTGTGGCGGTTGCGGGGGGACAGCAGGTGCAGCGCGGAGGCGGCGGAGGCCATGCTGTCGTCGTGCAGGCTGGGGTCCCGGGGCTCCCCGGCCAGGCCGCCCGCCGAGCCCAGGCCCCGCGGCAGCGTCTCCGAGGCAATCTCCGGGATGTCCTGGGACATGGCCGTGGACGCTGAGGAAATCACGTCGGGAGAGCGCTCTCGGGTCGGAGACGCCTGAGGCACCAAGAGAGGCTCGATCGTCTGGAGGTCCAGGGAGAGCGGCGGATTGGCTGCAGGGCTAACCTGCGGGACAGGAGGAAGAGTCTCCTTCTATTCACAGCTGCCAATAAAGATTCTAAAATCTCTTCGACTGAACCGAAGAGTCACTGAAAACAGATCACAGATCCACACAATGCATTGCAACCGAAACTCGGCAACAATCCAAATGCTGCCCGGAAGTTGTCAAAAGACATTTTAAGTTTCCACCATCCTAAAAAAGCCACTTCTACTTCTTAATCGGTTTTGATAACTCTCTTCCCGCTTGTCGAACTGAATAATGTTTCTGTTGGGGGGAAACTGCTGTCCGTCTATGCGCGTACCTGGATAGTCTTGGTTGGCAGCTGGTCTGTGAGCCCGGGAATGAGGATGGAGTTGCTCCGTGGGCTGGGTGGAAGACCAGAGATGGCGCTGCTGCCACTCGGGGTAATACTGCCCTCCAGGGAGATCATAGGGCTCTGAGTCAGCTCCTCTCCCGATCTGAGAAGACAGACGTAAGGGGCAAGACTGAAGGACAGCTTCATGGCATGGCAACATTACACAAAAATAAAACCCCATTAAGAACTCTTCTCCTAGCGTTTTGTTTTGCCCATTTAAAAGGTAGTGAAAAGGGGGACACAGGAATAAGGAAAATCATTTCATTAGTCACTACAGCAGGCAGCTCAACTGGCTTCCACTCCTCAAGTTTCCTCACTACCCAGCAGGCCGCCCTCAAACCTGACAGTTTCACAACACGCTGGAGCCACTGCCGCACAAAAACTTGTATTGCACAGACTTTTCTCTTTACTTGAATTCCTGCTAAACCTGTATTTCTTAAGATGGGAAAGGGCTAGTATTTGGTCATCTTTCCAGTTTCTCTGGTCAAAGCTTTGACGCCCAAGAATGTCATTTTCTGTCAGGGTCTCACAGTCCTTCCCCATCCTTTCTCTGGTCGGTTATAAACATGCACCACATGGTTTAACCCCCTGCCCTTCTCTGCGCCACCTCATGATATACACATACTTTACCGCTGCTCTGAAACTTTAGATCCTGCTTGCCCAAGCACTGATTCAAGACACACTCACCTGGACATGACACTCTCACTGATGGAGGTGCTGCTCATGGCTGTCACGGTGGTGAGGGTTGTGCCACTGCTGCCAGGAGACGTGGCAATTTGCTGATCACAGGAGATAATGCAGTCAATGGCAAAATTATTTCGCAGGGAAACAGAAGGGAGGTCTGTTGAAATCTTCACGTAATCTCTAGAAGTATCCGGTATTATTTCATGACAATGTCAGCTTTAGTTTAAAATACTTCAACTTAGAAAGGGTCATTAAGACCCCTAGCAAACAATATCACATGGCTATCTAACACAATTTAAAAGGCAAGGTAAAAGCACGATCGCGTGGTTCAGTTTTGGTGCTGGCTGTGTTTATGGAGATACCTGCTGCGCTGAAGCACTGGGAGTCATAAAGGCATCAGGCGTCATGAGTTTGGGCTTGACATCATTGGACGGGGACAGGAAGTCAGCTGGGGCAGGCAGGTTGGAGATCCTGCGCAGGTCGTGCTGTGACCCCCGGCCCGACTCTTTGTCTGATCCCAGGCCTTCCCCGCTCACATCCCGCAGGTGATCTGTAAAACCTGCATCAGAAGACCGCTTGCATCAGCCTGAAGCAGAAAGCTGAATCTTTTACACCCTGAGAGCCAACAGTCTTGGCACTGGAATTGTGCAAGTTTTACTTGCGTAACAGATATACTTATCCATTAATCTAGAAATGATGTAAGAATATTACATGATGCAGATAATTGCAAATTTTAAAAACACTTCCCTATATAACACTATATTTCTTTTCTAAGCAACAGCTTTTCTAAAACCACTGTATTCTCAGTGACTAAACCGGGACAGATCATGCTCAAGACAAAAAGCTGGGAAGTCCACAGGCTCCCTTGAACACCCCCACAATTCAACAGAATCAGAAAGTAGACAGCAGCTTTCCTTGCTTCCATCTTGAATATGTGAATCCTGCCCGGCAGGAAAGGGGATTTGTTCTTATAGAACGGATAAACTCACCGAAGTCCTCACACGAACCAGCACGAGGAAGAAACAAGGAACTGCCAGGACTCTGCTGATGATGAGGCTGAAACCAAATCTGCACATCCTGCAGGGACCTGAGAAAAATGAGCAGAAGAAGTAAATGTCTTTATCTGTACCACAAAAGTTGCTTTTTGCGAAAACCCTGGGAACTACATTTAAAAAAATCACCATCTATGACAAACCTTTAAACGCATCATGGAGTCGGTTTATCTCAAGCTTCTTGTTCTATTACTTAAAAGGTTTCCTCCTCTCCCATCAGAGTACTCACTTTGTGTGGACACAGTACAGTTTGATCTGGACTCCTGCTTTGGATTCAACAGGTCCTTGGCTTCCTTCTGCAATGAAAAAAAGAGAGAAATCGAACTTTCAAAGGAACACTGATCCTCTGATTAGTGCAGTGGGTGAGCCTCTGGACTCGTGACGTGTGGGTTTGAGCACTCACCACAAACACTGCTGTCGTACCCTTAAGTGATGTAACTTACCCCAGTTGCCCCACTCCACCCAGCAATACAACAAGTGGAGACCAGCAATCCTAGGGAGTAATCAAATTGATGGACCAGTGTCCCAGGCAGGTTTCGAAACCAGGTTGAACTCTGGCCCAGTTACACAAGAGCTTCTGTGGCTCTGATATAGACTTTGCCTTTTTTAAGTAGTAATGCCACTATTCTATTACCCTTTATCTGTAAACTCCTCACTGCAGGAAGAAGGCTAAACACATTAAATGTATCGTATCGTCAATTGTATTGTTAAGCGCCTTGGGGCAACCTTGTTGTGAAAGGCACTATATAAAAATAAATTAAATAAAGTCTTCTGAGCTTACGCATAGCTAAAGGAATGTTACAGACATCAGCAATGTATGTGAGCAGTCTTGCTCCTCCAGCTGTTTAATGAGCCAAAACAATTACCCCAGTGACCTCTTTTAAAATGCCTAGTCACATCCATAATATGACCTGGCATTTTAAAAGTAGTTCTAAGCACCCACAGACGTGCCTACCTGAGGTCATGCTCTCGCTCTCTTCCTCGGGGGGAAGGACTTCAGTGTGACGCAGGCGGCTGCGGCTCACATCCTGAATGCCAAAGCTGAGCACTGGGTTGGTAAGCAAGAACTCCGAGATGGCAGTGAAGCTGGCTCTGCCCTTCTCCTGATCCTGCAGTAGCTCCATCACATACAGCACCTGCAACCAACAGCATACTCAGGCAGCCGGGTCGACTGTGCAAGTACAGTGGCTTCTCCAAGAGAAGCGTTCGAAACTCCTGGAAATAACCCTCACAGAACTCCAATAACCCTGAAGGAGAAGGCTTGGCCAGTAATGTAACAACATGCACAAGGTTCAGAGTCAGAAACTGGTTGCCAATACCATTCCGGTTACATAGTTAAAGGCATGTGGTCATAAAAAGTGAACGACAAGAGGAAGCACAAAACCCTGAATACAATGTTACTTCATCAAAGCAACGGAATACAGAAATGTAATACATTGATAAAAACCGCCCTGCAGTCATCATTTACAATTGTTGGTTCTGACAAATCTGATCTGCTTCATTAAACAAGAAGCTGCACTGTCTCTGGGTTAATGAGTTCAGATCCCAAATGTCGCCATCAATCCAATACAATAAGGAGCAATCTGACCTAATCAAGAAAGCAAGTTAGGCACAAAACCTTACTTTTCTTTGAACATCACTGAGTATCAAGTACTCAGCAGAGAGATCCAAACTTGCTTTCAGACTCGGAAGAACGCTGGAGTTAAAAGGATCTGGAGAAAATCTGAAACATGAAGGGATATAAATAGATTACCATATAAAAAAAGAGCTAAATGAAGGGATTTCCAATCCCTCAAAGAGAGCCAAAAGCTATTAAGCTTACTGCACAACAACTCAGCAAAAACCTAACGCAACGGCAAACTCCACACTAAGAACACAAGGTGCATGCGCGGTCCTTGCCTGACGGTCTGCAAACAGGTCCAGGACACAGTACACCACATCTTCAGCTCTCGATTCTGTTCTGCTCCAGTGACGAGGAACCTCCAGAATGGAACACTGCCGAAGAGACCATCGTTACCGTGACAGCTTTGTTAAGGTAACTTACCAGAGCCATATCTTTAATGAGCACCATAAATACTTCACAATACATTACAGTATACAGGCTTTGCAAAAATGCCAGGGTGGAGTTCAACAGTTTGATTATGAGTCTTAGCTCTTGCAACGTTCGTGCTGTTGCTTACGAGGCATGTGTATAAGTGAGAAACAGTAATGCATTGTTCTAAGCACTCTGCATTTCACTAAAATAATACAATCAAAAAGGTGTAAAGGCTATATGTGCCAGGGAACTGAAATTTCAGTTCCTGTATCAAAGAGAAGTTTATATGTGACACAAACACATATAAAGAAAATAAGAAAACATGTTGCTTTGCTGACATTATTTCCAACACCTTAAAGCTATTTTTTACAGCATTTTTCCTACATAAATAGTGACAACAGGTTTTTATATACTGGTGAAAGCAAGGTACTGACGACTTACTCTGGGTCTTGTTTCTTGTGATTGTCACAAAACAGCAAGCAGGATAAAGGCTTCCCATTGTGGGGCTTCCATTCATGAAGACATCTATGAAAAATGAGGAAAAAAATGCCTGTGTATGAGACACGGATTTTGACATACTCTACTTTTTGAGCAACAGACCACATTTTCTTACCATGTATTCATAAATATTTGATGTTTTACACAACAACAGTTCCACATTAATCCACACAATTCACTGTGGTGAAGACTAATTTAACCTATGCAGGAAACAAAGACATTGAATAGCATGAACAGCAAACCAAATGAATAGCAACAGCCGCTCTTACCAAGTTTAAATCCTACAATGAGTCAGTTTCACAAAGTACAATGCTCAATCACCTTGGCTGACCCTGCCCTTCGATGTAGATCTGCCAGAATTTGATGTACCCATCGTGACTGGCAGTGGCAAGGACTGTGCCATCAGGGGACAAGGCGCCTTCGCTGATGCGCTGAAGAGCAGAACGGACAGGTAGGAGTAAACCATGGGCTCAAAACCACACTTAAAAAATGCCATTTAACAAACTTTCAATACAATTTTCATTTTAGAAAACTGCAAGTTGAAGGCGGCATAAAGCACAAAAATACAGAATACAGCTGAGATGTACTGCATAGCAGTATTAGACCCAGCTGTGTGACTTGATTGCAAAAATCCAATTGTCCAAATTGGCTATAAAGCTGCAACTTCTACTAAGAATAATCAAGTACACATTTTAGACACCTACATAGAAAAGGCTGTCTAGATTGCACATAACTGTTTTCTGATATAAATAAATAAGTAGCAGACCAGTAATGATTCTCATTGGCTTGACTTGCATGGTATGGGAGGCAACACTATTATTTGAAATGACTGACTGCTTACCTCTGTATGTCCTTTAACAGTGATAAAGCCATCCTTCAGATCAGTCACTTCCACTGGCCAGGTGGTGTTGCTCGTTCGGAGGATCTCCAAATCCCACACTTCTGCCTAAACATAGACAAAACCCACAGGATCACCCACTGTCCGCAACAGCAACTTTAAGTACAGAAGACAGCCATAAAAAGGAAAATTATCTTCCGTAAGAGTAAATAAGACTAGAACTCAGCAGGACTGTTGTTACATTACAAACAAGGTTTTTCTAAAAGAAAATACTGTTTTACATCACACTTGGAATCCAATCTTTGAACCAACAAGATGTACACTCTATTTTACTCTACACGAGTTCTTAAAACACTCATACCCGGTCCTCATGGAGCAAGGCCAGTGTCTGACAGCCATCCTCTGCATTGTCATCATTCTCCTCTGGGATGAAAGGGCACCAAATGATCCTCCTGTTGGTGTTTAAGGGAGTGCCTTCGGGCCTCGTTATGTGGACAATTATCTCATCCCTGTTTCAGAGTTAAGAATGTAGCAAAACACTGATAGGAAGACCTGGTGTAACAAAGACATTCAAATGATCCTGCTCCTGCTTCATTACAAGACAAACATTAAATGCTAAACAAACAGCAAGTGTTTGTTTCCTTATTATGCACTTGCACGTCTCCTCCAGGCAATACAATAAGTTATATGATTGCAGTATTTGAATTTCCTCACATTCAGTCTTTCTTCATTTATCAGCTATGTAACACTGCTCCATTTCAGGGATATTAAGATGGACATAACGCATCATAGACTAAACATTTTTTACAGAATTTATAGAATTAGAACAGAAAAAAATCAATTCTGTTGAGATAAACATTTTTTTAAACACGAATACGGCCATCTAATTCTGACCCATAAGTTTTGTTTTAAAATAGGAAATTTTATAACAATAAGAAACAGCAAGATGGCCAGCATCAAAAAAATGTCAACATTTTGCTCTTTACAAAACGGAAGCTTTGAGCTTCAGTGTGCTGCTAGTCCAGGGCTCCCCTGGAAGAGGATACTGTATTTTCCCATCCTGGCTGGTCAGCTGCCACACAAACAGGTTGCCAGCTTCGTCCACGCAGGCGAGCTGGGTGGAGTTGAGGTGAGCAAAGGCCAGGTCTGTGACAGCCCCCGTGAATCCTTTGAGAAGCGTGCGCTCGGCCGTGCTCAGCGACAGCACTCGGATCATGGGGTAATTGTTTGCACCTGCGCACAGATAAAACAGAATAACGTGCTAAAATATGCCAAGCGCTGGCAGGTGGCGTGACCTTTGAAACTAGACCTGGAATTAAACTCAACATCAAATTTAGAGTTCACCTGCGTTGCCATTCGCGGGTTTAAAAACAGATCCTACTGAACACTTCATAGCTCCTCCCAATTCCATGCTATGCAAATCTCAAACTCCCGATGATCTGTAGATACGGCTCGGAAAGGTTCTTGCATGTGTTTAAAAGGGAAATGAAGAATTATACTAGGAGGGCGGGTGTTAAACATTCAAAACACACATAAAAGGCACCCACAGATTACCCGCAACATTCAAACCCAAATGCAAACCAGGCTAGGACTTTGTATTTTTTGTAGTTTTAAGAGTAAGGCAGAGGGCATGTTTATTACGGAACACTTAAGTCCAAAAGTGTCAAAAGGTCTTTACTATAGCAAGACTAACGGCAGGGCATATTTATACACAATCACTGTTTATTGAACACACTGCATAGTAACCAAGCAACAAAGCCACACAGCCTCAACTGTTTCCAAACAGTTTTCAGAAGCAGTCTGGCAATGCCTGCTGGACAAGCACATACTGCACTGCAAGTACAGAAACCATCACTTTACCAAGAAGGGGGGAAAGAAAGCACTTCTCACCTCTAATGGCATAGGCAAGGAAACTGTTGGACACCGCTATCAGGTTGCCATAATAGTACTTGTGTTCCCAGTCATACTTTGCAATAGGCTGGATTTTGACCTGCAAGAGAACGAGTCTAAATAAAACCCCAAAGTCCAGCCCTTTGGACAGAAGGCCTGGGCTGCAGCTTCTTCTTGCCATAAACACACAGAGACATGATTTACCTTGTTGCTGCCCCTGGCTTTGCTGTTGATGCTGGAGTCATGGCTTGCCACGACCTCCACATCCCCAGATGAAATGACAATACAGGTTGAACTGTCATCTCCTGAGAGGCAGCTGTCAGACAAAAACAAAACTGGTGGACTTAGTAACCTAAGAAACAAGACCATTTAGGTAGCAGCACTTTAAAGCACAAATGTTGCAGAGACAAAATATCAACAAAGCCACTCTTTCTAGCACTCTGGGTGATGTGATAGTTTTAATAGCCATGCCCACCGCCTAAATAAGTGCACATTGCACATTAAATGTTTGACAAAAGAGGCGACAGGAAACTTGCATTCATCTACAGTTGTTGAAGTAAAACCAATCAGCTTATCCCATTATCAAATAAAAGAATCACTCCTTATACTGCTCTGTGCAAGGAGCAGATTTAAAACTTTGTACAGGAATTACCGCAATCAGTATTAAACTTGGGACTTGCACATGTATTATAAAACGGCTAACTGCTCACACAAAAGGCAGCAGCTGTTTTGTTTCTCATACTTTGATAACATTATCCTAAAGCAGTAACGATTGCCTTCACTGGCTGTATTAGGACTCTTTGCTAAACGTTCTCTAGATTCGAAGTCAAATAGGTAAGCAATGCACTTTCGGTTTTACATTCCCATAAGCATTCATTCCTTTTGATTAAGGAAGTGATCATGGTTATCGAAGCAACCCATCCCCATCCCCTACATGGTCTGTCTCTCGTGCGAGCTCATGCTCTCCGGGTTGTGCGCAGTGGGCTCGCCCAGGGTAGCTCGGTCACCCGCGGCTACGAAGTCAGCGCCAAACAGGCCATTGAGCTCCCCGTTGAAAGACCTCTTTGGGTTCTCAGTCGAAGAGGTATCTGGTGGGAGGGGAGGAAAGTCTTGTCGTGAGGACAATGCAACAGACCGATAAAAAAAAAAACCCAAACAAGGATCACGCACAGAAATGCATTTTACTTCTTTGTGTAAGCCCAGCAGAGAAAACTAGAGAACAATTCGGAGTGAGCCCTTTAAATAAACTTGGAAGTTCAAAGGGCTCACGGATTTTGAGGGATACGTAGAGAATGCATATTTTCTTGCAAAACTGTTCTTTTTGAACTACATCTGAATTTTATGTAACATCTGACATGCGCGCTCAGCGCAACGCCCGTTCCCGTTGGGAAACGCGTCGCACAACAGTCGCACTTGTTACAACTGAATTTCGCGACTTTTGGAGTCTCAGTCCACACGAAACGGAGCAGAAGAAAAGACACGAAAACTTCAGTCGCGGGTTTCTCCCGTTCGGTCAGGTTTGAAAACAGCGGAGTGAACCTCTGAAAACTCCTCCCTTCTCGTACACCCCCTCTCCGCCTCAAAATCACCACCTCTCGGCGTGTTCTGCATTTTCTTCTGGACCCTCAATTGCAACAACTTCTCAAATCTCTCGAATATATATTTTTTCCCACCCGTGAAGCTGACAATTTAACGTCGTTTTGTTCTCCTCTTCTGTTACGCGTTCCCGGGCAACACAAAATGCGCAAAAGGGTTGAGTTTACTGCTGGTCGCTAGAAACACCTTATCGTTTTGCATTTTGTGTTTGAACTTCGGCTTCACTTCTCGGTGTATCTCCGTATCTTTTCCGCATCCCTGTAACTAACACCCCCCTTCTGCGGCCTAGCGAATCTTGCAGGCCTCTCCCGGCTCGCCTCCCCACGGCACTCACCGCTAATCCCGGGTCGGGCCAGCTTCAAGATGTCCCGAAGATGCTGGGTCGCGTCCTCTATATCTATATTGGAGTTAGAAGCCATAAGGGAGGGAAAGGGGGAGGTAGCGGGCGGATAAACGACAGGCAAACCCTTTACTTTCTTAAAATGTTGTATCGATACTGTTCTGTTTCGTCAAAGTGATCGCTTGCCCCAGATTCCGTTTTCTGCTGGTCGTGAAAAACCAGCAACCGCCTCAACTTCCGTTCTGCGCTCACCGTAATTCCGTCCCTGCTGCCAGGGAAACCGCGGACTCGCTCACGCGTTCCTGCTCAGCACTCGACCAGATCTTTGGAAACAAAACTATGATGTTCGTATTGTAATAGATCCGTAAGCCGTGTTAGGGAAAAAAAATATAGGTTTATAGTTACTTTTTACAAGCATTTCAAATTTCCCTTAGCGACTTGAAAGCGGCAGTATTTGTCTGCTGAGCGGAATAAATTCAGGCATTCGTCGTTTTCCTTCACTGTGGGTGTTTGTAAAGTACGATATTAATTTAAAATGTATTAGTCCGCGGAAGGAAGACCTTCACCTCAATTCCACGGTGTGACATTGTCAGTAACAACAGATCAGTGAAGTTGCTTTGCATCGTGCATGTGATGTGCCTCAACAAAGCACGCAGCTTTGTTGGCATTTGCGTAGGAAAGCCTCCTAAGACAGTGCTGATAAAAAAAGTACCAGGGTGTCGTTTCTAAATTTACCAGAAAGCAGAATTTGTTTTCTGCAGGATTAACTACACCGTGTGTGCTATGCAAGAGTTTTCTGCCAGGCATTCAATCAGTTGATAAACTTGCTTGTATAGCCCTTGTTTAAACAGTTACATGCAATATATTGAAAAAATAATTAAAATGACGTTCAAATCTTTGGTTTAACTTGAAGTAAACGTGTTTTTGTTTTACATGGATAAATTCAAAGTATATTTTGAAACTAGAAAATGGCCAGTAGTTCTGAAATCTTCCACACAATTGTGTCCCCGTTTTAACAGTGGGAGCGAACTGCAGATAAACCAGGGGGAAACAGAATAAGGAAACCTTGTCAGGCTGGGAGCCTTTCGATAGGGTTTGGCCAGTTTTTGAGGAATGGCAGTTCCTGGCTCAAAGTGTGCTTTGCCAAGATGGTAATAATAATAATAATTCCTTACACTTATATAGCTCCTTTCTGGATACTCCACTCAAAGCGCTTTACAGGTAATGGGGATCCCCTCCACCACCACCACCAGTGTGCAGCCCCACCTGGATGATGTGACGGCAGCCATAGTGCGCCAGAACACTCCCCACCCACCAGCTCTCACTAGGGAGGAGAGCAGAGTGATTGAGCCAGTTCAGAGATGGGGGATTACTAAGAGGCCATGATTGGTTAAGGCCAGGGGAAAACTGGGCCAGGACACCCCTACTCTTTTCGAGAAACGCCCTGGGATTTTTAATGACCACAGAGAGTCAGGAGCTCGGTTTTACATCTCATCCGAAGGACAGCGCCTTTTTATAGTATAGTGTCCCTGTCACTATACTGGGGCATTAGGACCCACACAGGGTGAGTGTCCTCTACTGGTACCACTAACACCTCTTCCAGCAGCAGCCTTAGCTTTCCCAGGAGTCACCTATCCTGGTACTGACCAGGCTCACACCTGCTGAGCTCCAGTGAGCTGCAGGGTGATATGGCTGCTGGCAAATAACGTATTGTGGGTCCAAAAGGTACAAAGTCATTATATTTCATGTAGGAAACCCATTTCACTATGAATGTTAACTATATCACCACTTGAGTGATACCTACCAAGGTTGGAGTGAGCTGGCTAACCAGCCTTTGAACAGGAACAGTAATGTTGGGAATTATTTGGTGATTTAATTGTTAAACATTAGGAGTTACTGTAAGTGTCATGGTCTGTATATGTACAAGAATGAAAAATGACAGGCAGCTATCTTGGTCCTATAAATACACCCATAACATTTGGAAATAATTGGCCAAAGAAATTTGGATTAAGATTTTGCGTGTGTCATGTTTCAGTTGGTGCAGCGAAAAAAAGGTAACAGCTTACCTGTCTTAGTATGCCTGTTTAGTATGATGTTGCTAGCGCGCCTGGTCTCTGTACACGAGCAGTTTCAAAAGGGAAAATGGTCAAACATTTACAACCAGTTCAAACTATAACTATACAGTTACACACCACTTACAGGCCTAGTAAAAGGTGTACCAGTTCCATCTGCACAGATGGCCTATACAAACATGTAGTGACAACAGACGCCACTAGAGGTCTCTAGTGGGAGGTGGACTAATACAATTGGACATTTGTAACAGTGCGGTGGATTGAGACGAGAAAGCGAATGTAACGAGCGTGAGATCATCACTAAACGTTTCCACAGAGCTGAGTCCGAGCGACACGGAGGCTTCATATGAACGTTTTTTTCCAAGTAGGAGCCGTGTGTAAAATCAATGGATTGATTTCAGCATTGTCATTACGAATGGCAAACCTCGGTGAAAACCAGAACGAGCATACGACAGCATTTAACAAAAACTACAGTCTTTGATAGTATTCTGCCAAGTGCACTTATGCAATACATTTGCATGTTTAGCTAATGCTATCATGCTCATTACAACAGTCATAAAGAGGAATCATATTAGCCTTTGTAATTTAAGCCCATTACACTTAAAACAATTGTCATGTTTCAGTGTACCCCAAACCTTGGGCAACACAGTTGTCGGGAAAAAAACTAAATTCATGGGCTTGTGTGGTGTACGGATTATTCTTAATAGCTGGGGTGTTGTGCTGAGGTTGTCAGAATTACAATTAAAACACTTTAATTGGGTTTCCTTTCAGTTTTTTATTTCCTTCACTAACATGTGGCCACAGAACCCCTTCCATTTAAAGAAACAGTAACTGAACCCATGTAATGGCTTATTACAGTCAAGTCCCTATGTCTTTTAAACTACCCTTTGTACCACAATGCCATTAACTCCCAGTGTATATGAAGCTAGCAATGAGATCCAGTCCAGAATAATTCAGTTTGTATTTCTCCTCCCTCAGTTGTGCAAAAAGGTTAACAAAACAACAGGAAAAAAAAAGCATTTCTCCCACAAAAGCATGGACAAACAGGTGAACCCTGTAGCGCTGAAGGCCGAGACCATCCTTCTGCTTTTC